AAAATCGCCCGATGTCGAATTAATAATTTTAGAAGTCGAATGATAGAAATCTGAAAATAATTCACTAAAATTTCTGTTAATAAACTCTTGTTAATACTGTTTTAAACAAGAGTTCAAAGACTCACTTTAATAATGCAATGATAGACTCTTCACTTAATCCACTGTCGATTATTCGAGTAATCACTTCTAATTGAGGTTGTGCTAAATTGATATATTAGAAAGATAAGTTTATATCTTGATATTAGGAATATATTAATTTGTGATGGATAATTTTTACATATATCAGATTCCATAATCAAAGGTAATAATAATCCATAAACCATCGGTTTACTTTTTGCTTTTGCGATATGCGAAATATTTGCCAAGAAATTACGTGAAGGCTTTGATTTTATGTGTCGTACCTATATAAAGGATTTAATAGCATTTAAAGAACCTTTAACATAAAAATAAAAAAATAAAGATATATATACCTTTTCTAACAAACCATATTTAAAAAACACAACGTAATTTTGATACGCGATGTCTTTATGTTTAACAATCTCATTGCACAAAACTGCTAGGACAACGTCATCAAGTTGGGAAATTTCCAAGTCTTTAAATATTTTATTAAGCTAAATGATATGTTGTTAATAAAGATTAATAAAGTTGCTAATTTAAAAAACCAACGCTTACTTGTGCATGTGGCAGTCTCATTAAAATGTTAAAATCAGGTAAAATCTCATCCGGTTTTCCAATACTTAATTTTGTACTTATGTTTTGGATTAAATGCGAATCTACCTCGCATTCGATGTCCTGTGATGAAGGTTTTGCAGGTTCATCGTGATCTATTTAATTTATAAACAATGTTAGAAATCAACTAAAAGAAAAATAATTTAAAGTAATAATAAATACGTACATAAATTCTCCTCATTGGGAGTATGATGAAGATTTTGCTTTTTTTGAATTCGTCGATTAACAATATGATTCTTTGAAACGTAGCATTAATTCAAAATATAAGGAATCAAGTTTTTAGGAGTAAACTACTGTATAAAATAATATTTTTATTTTCCAAGGATATGAATATGGGTTGGGATGTTGATTTTTCTTCGCGAAAATGGTTTAATCCTGAATAATCAATCTATAGTTAAGATTTTTATTTTACATCTAATATTTCATTATATTAAAAAAAATAAAAATAAATCCAATAATATATACCTTGGACTTGCAAATTTTGTGTCAAATTATCAAAAATTTCAGTTTCATCTTTAAAAATCCCATTGAGTGTTGGACATTGAAATAATTTTTCCGTCTCCGAAAGTTTTAATTTCCATTCATATAATAATTGTTCGTGAAGGGGGTGAAACTTTGACATTTCGAATATTCTAACCTTTCTAATCTTTTAATCTGCAATTACCAAAAAAATCACCCCATTCTATATCACATGATATATTCGGATTTTTATATATATATACGATATATTTTAAAAGTTCGCAGTTAATTTTTTTAAAAGATGGATAACAAACAAACTCCAAGTAAAGAACTGATCCGTTCTAAAGGCAGTGAAACTTCGCTTACAGACTCTCCTTTAAAACCAAAACAAGAAACTTTAGATGAAGATACTTATACTGAGGCATTAAGCGAGATTATTAAAAAGGATTTTTTTCCTTCTCTTTTAACTCTCGAAGCACAGCATGATTATGTGGATGCCTGGAATTCAAATAATCCAGATCTAATCAGAGATGCTACTCGTAAACTTAACGAATTAACTACACCTTTCAGGAAAACAAATGGTATATATTAAATTTACATAGATTTTTCAAGAATTAAAGCATTAAACCGCTACGTTGTTAATCTGTCAAATTTTTATCGGATTAGAAGTTCCAACTCCAAAGGGACCAGGATTGACTCCGGGATTAACAGCATCACAAGAAGGATGGGATACACCTGTATCCACCACAGGATCTAATGTTTTTAAAGTTCCAGCACCAAAAAAAAATTTTACAAATTTATCTTTGGATGCTTATCAAGCGAAATATACAAGCGAGGATAATGCTTCATATCCTTAAAGTAGTGTAATTAAGTTTTTATTACAAAAGTTATCGCATCGTATTAAAACCTTAATCAGTATCTACCTTTTCAGAGTTAATGCGCAAGGCTAATGAACAGAGAAAAGAAAAGTATAAATGGATGTATGATAAAGAATCAGATCCGTTATTGCTTGAAGATAATCATGATAAACCAAAATTGATTGAAGGTGTCTCCCAAGACAAGCCAGCTGAGATTGCTTCCTGGAAATATAAAGTAATAATATTCTTGGTTTTCGCTTCTTTGGATAATTATTTGACTCATCCAATCTTCTTTGATATTCTCTGAATGTTATATTAGGTACGAAATTCGCTAATGTTTTATCCAGAAGGCCAAGATCAAGTTCCTGAAGAGAATTCAAGAAGAGCACCAAAACAAATAGTCCACAGTGCTACAAGATTCGAGTCGACAGATGAAGCTGTAAGAAATAAGCAATATTATTTGTTTCGGATCATGATGAAATTAGATCATGGTGAAATATGGGTCTTTATTTGAATATACAAACACTACTAAAATTTACCTATACTCTTTTATTAACAACTCTTAACCCTAAATCATTACTCAACCCTAAAAAAAAATAATACACCCTCTTAAAAAATTTAAAATTCATATTTAATAGGTTCAAATTTTCATCATGATTCGAGATATCATTTAATATTTAGAATATTGGCTACAGTATTTCATATACATATTATATTTATATTTTAATTCTATAGACGATTTACAATCATGCAGCTGCAACTGCGGCTTCTGTTGGATTCAACATAGATTCGACTCCAAGTTTGTTTTCATTTCTTTTAATTATATTACATTTATCCAACTTTGAATGATAATTTACTATTGGTTATTTAGGTGAAAGTGCTTCTCATACACCCCGAGTTGGTGGTTATAGTTTCGTTTCGGCCACACCGTCTCCCAACCCTTCACAAATTGACACATCAGAACTTATGACTTGGGGTATGATCGAAGGTAGTCCTCTGTTGATTGGCGGAGATCAAACACCAGGTATATTATTTGCTAAGATATAGAATAAAAGTTTTTCAATATTATTTCGAATCTATTCTGGTCAGTATTTAAGAGCCGCGCTAGATATGTTTAAATTAGAGCTCCAATCCGAATAAATCCGTCATCCATTTATCCATATCCAAATTTATCTGGATATCCATTTACTATTAATATCCGGATAATCCGACAGATATCCGGATATCAATAGTAACCATATATCCAAATATATTCGGATATTGGATATCCGATGGATAAACGGATAATGGATTGGAGCTCTAGTTTAAATAGTAATTCTTTAGACAGATTAAAGTGTGGCATTAAAAATGAGCGAAATAAGATTTTTTATAGTCATTTTATAATTTATTTGAAGGACCCTCTTTTCAACTGCCACCAACCCCACGGAGAGAGATTATTGGAATGAATCTTTCAAGCAATGCCTCTAGAAATATTCGTAAGCGCAACTCATCCATGAAATCACCACGAACTTTACACAGCCCAATTGCAA